TTCGGTGAATTAAAATGGACTCCATCAAACCACCCTGTTAAGGACCATAAATCACCGTGACTGCAGGTAGCCTAGCAATGAGGAGGACCGAGGTCATACAATGTTTAGAAGTGAGTGGAAGCCTTTTTAAAACCAAGAAAATTCCGAAGACCCCACAAGATATCCACTCGATACGTCTTAAAACACAAATACGGAGTGACTCTTATCAGTCTTGATGGAGTTCAGGAGAATGTCTCTGTCTGTCGGGTGCCACAAGGGATAACAAGCCTTTCATACTTGCACATCAAGTTGCCTCACGCTACAGAGAAAAGAATTAGGCTCCTGCCTTTTGGGCTATTTGTGGCTCCAGCGTGCTTTACTTACTTAGACAGTGACGAGGACAGAACATGACTTCCACTGTGTTCATATTATTTAGAAATAATGTCCTAAACTGTCAACTGGAGAGGGTGCATGCTAGGCGGTTCAAATCCGGATTACCGTTGTCACACACCGTGTCTGTATATTGTTTGTGTCAATTCACCGCAAACTATGACAAATGTACGGATGAAAATAAGTGGTGCCGTCCGGTGCATGAAGTGTGCAAAACCAATGGAAGGCAAGGGCACATGTGCTTTGTGCTCTTTTGTAAAGATTACATGCTCAGGGAACCCAACTTCCTGCCTCTACGTTGGCTGCCTTACTGACGTGTTGATGAGCAAGACACTAGATCGTGACTAGCTGCAGGACTCTTCTGCCTTTGTAGCCAAACCTTACTTCCCTTGCGAAGGAGGTGAAAGACTAAAGAGAAATCCCTTTAGGGAGCAATAAAGTCAAAAAGTTGAACTCTAACATCAGTGAGTGATGTGTGGGTTTGCATGTGATATTCTGCAGCTGAATCAGTGGGCTGTTAATCTCTGTCATCTTCACATTGAGTATATTAGTTGCAGTGATCATCAGTGAATATAGTTCAAACTGATCATGGTGAAAAGATAGGGATTTCTGTGGGGCATATGAACATGTGTATTCATGACTTATCTCTGTGAGTGTTGAAGAGGCCTCGTCACTGACATGATAATCGTGCGGAGCAGAATTGTTCTGATACAGTCTAAAAAGCTGTGTTGGGTATTGAAGTTTACCGATCCAATATCACATTATCATGTCTTTAATCAGCTCATTTACGCTGCACAGGAACAGAGACAACACGCGTCTCTCCCTACCCGATCCATACACCCTGCCTGATCTAGCACTACACACCTGGGGTTAAACTCGCACCCCATTTTTTTCTTCTTTCACTCCATCGTGAACAAGAAATCCGCGTTGAAATCGTCAGGATGGGAGCTAGTTAATGTTGGCTCTTAACAGCCGTTGGGCAGCACGGTCCTGCTTGGCAAAATAACGAAACAAATGTTGCATTGAGTGACGTTATGATGCGTTCGAGCTCCATGCAGCAAAATGAGTATTGGGAGAAAGTCAATTATAATGTTATCATGATGTGTTCAAATGTCATCTGAACATAAAATAAAGTTTTAGGGAGGGAATCATGACCGATTTATTTATTTATATTAATGCACTGGTTTCGACCGATAAGCAAGTTCAGGTATCGGGAAGGAAAAAATGTCATCAGAACATTTCTAATATGGAGGCATAGGACTTCCATGATAGTATGGAACATGTTATTGCATTGGAACATAACAACATGCTATTTATGGCTGTCTAAGTGGCAACCCGTATTGTGTGTGTTTCAGCGCCTGTAGAAAGCCTCAATGTGTGATGCATTTTCCCATCTCCACTTTCCCTCTGCTGTCTTTTCCTCCCTAAGCTCTGTACTCTTTTTTTTTTTTTTTTTTTTTTATTATTTTTCATTTGATGTTGGACGATGAGTCGGCTTCACACACATGCACGAGGTGAGATCTCACAGGGCTTCAGTCGATCTCTAATTGAATTGTCTGAACAGCAAGAGACGCACATTGGAATTATGAAAAGAGAGCGCATCTGAAGACTGGCACCGGAAGAGTGTTTCATCTCTCGTGCTGGCTTCCATGCAACATTGATTACCTGGAAAATGGATCAGCTGGAGAAGTCTGTTTTGAAATACAGAAGAAAGAGTGCACGAGGCTAATGCCTTCTTCATATCTGCCCTCTGCAGTGTTCTCATGCAGTATGCGATAACATCTCTTCATAGTCTGTTTCATTTCTCATTGTCTCAGGGTCACAGAGGTGAGTGCCTTGTACCACGACCACCGCCAGACTTCTGAACAAGCAAATACGGATGAGTAATGAAAAGGAAATGACCAAAGATATTCTTGGGTGCCAGGTTTTGGGGCCATTTTCGGAATGTTATCGCTGTCTAAACAATACATATTTAATAGGTTTGACAAATTTAATTTGTGTGCTTCATTAGTATTTTACTTCCACTTCACATCTCCCCATTTTCTGCCTTCCATTGATTTAAGATAGTCATTTTCTAAATGGAATGTATAACATCTTTCATAAATGTGGGAAATTTCAACGCGCTGCAACACATTTTCATCATCTTTTGTGTTACAGTCACATTCTCACTTCTGAAAGCTATATGATAGGGCTGGGGGATAATTCAATATGATAATTATTATAATTGGATGAAATCATAAAACGAGATATAGTCAAAATTCATAATAACAAACTAATTATTTTGCACTTAAGTTGTTAATTAAAAGATAAAATACTGTTTTGATTTGTCAAGAATTCAAGCAAGAGAAAACAAAACAATGCTGTTATTTCCTATGGACTATTTATTTATTGTATTACGAGAACACAAGCTATATTGTGTTCGAGATATAAAATTATATATCGTGTTGAAAGATTTTTTCCATATTCACATATATAAAGATGACAAAGCGCAAAATGGCCTTTAGTTAGAGCGTTATCTGAAATAACTTTTACACTATAGTTTTATTTGCACAATTCCTTTTTCCAATGACTTGGAATGAGTTACTTGTCATTTTGAAGGATTTTTCAATGGGTCGTCCTATCACACATCCACATCAGAGCACTGTATGTCCCTGGAGGCGACACAAGACAACTAATTATTATTCTTGTGCATTCTGTCTGTTATGGTGATTCCCTGTATAAATTAGTAACAGGGACTATTAATGCATAAGGTGGTTGTGCTTTAATTTGTTTCATATTTTGTATTCTCTGTAGTATTTCCCTCGGTTCGTGGAGTGAGAGTCTAGATCTGGCTGAAAAGCTTAGAGTGACCTTGGTGTATATATGCCTGAATACATCAAAGATGTTGGAGATAGTGTTGCCTTGGTTTTCATCAATAATTTTGTCTTCACCCAACGGCACAAAGAAATGTATCGAGGCACTTTTGAAATGGGCAAAAAGAAAATGTCAAAGAGAAAGCAAGAGTGAAGTTCCTGTTTCAGAGACTCCTTCAGATTCAGCTTTGGTCTTTGGAGCTGACGGCTCCGTTCAGGGGTTTGGTTGTCTCTTCGGACACCGTCCGCTATGTGTGTGGGGTTGGAAAAACGTTTATCTGAACTAAAGACAGTAATCTAATTCATCTTTTAACATTTGTAGTCAGGCTGTTGCAAGTATTTGAATTAATATCTAGTGAGGTACAATGGATAGATAAACTCCGATCAGCACTACCCCTGAGATGTGCCCTACGTCTCATTGACTTTCCATGAAGGGAAGTATTTATTTTGGAACTCGTGTCAAAAGAGAGTGGAGTACCCGTTATAGATGGATCATGAGTCAGAGGTTTCGGTTTCTGACAAACACAGGTCTCCACAGGATGTATTGGCTGAACTAGGCTTGCGTATTCTTGTTAGAATGAATGAATGCTAATTGGATTTGTTAACAAGAACAGCTGGGCCTTCCCGCCTTCTTTCCATGTTTTATCTCTTTGAAGAAGTCTGGTAGCGAATGGTGCATATCTCGTTATCCTTGATCATGGGAAGAGGTCTTTACTTCTCCACCAGTCCCCTGATAGTGGTCTAGCCTTTGATCCATTGTGATCTTAGTCAAATGAATGTAATGGTTTTAGATGTGGCACCGAGGCCTCTCATCGTTAAAATCACATTTCAGCGTCATTCAGCGTGGATCCTGCTTACCATGAAGTTTGAATTCTCCTCGTGAGAGCTTGGTTGAACTCTTTCCATTGCCTTTGTGCTTCTCCAGGTGATTTTCACTGCATGGGAACAGTTCTAAACTTTAGAAAAACACAATCAGAATAACCTTACAAGAAAACAGATTGATGAATATAAGGCGTGATTAGATCCTTTCAGTCCAGTCGGGTGAGAGTAAATTGGCCGAACAATGAAGACGCAACGATTCATTTCAGTTCTTTATTTAAAATTTCTTTTGTAAATGTTTCTTTGACATGGACTCTGAAGGGACAGAGCTGATTTCTGCCTTCATATGACTCACACTGAGTAAGTCTTTGTTCAGACGAGCCTCCATATAAAGGGCAGGAAAATCAGTCAAATGAGAGTCATTTTACTAAATGTACCATTATCCCAGTGTGAGTCACTGGAAAGAGATGCTGTCTTATTGTCATTGCTCCCCCTGTGAAATGTGTTTAATCATTGGTAATGTCCTGGTAGATACTGTGGACTCTTATTCTTTTCATCAGGATTTAGTCATGTCACGTAATAGCCACATAGGGTTAACTTTATGAAGATACATTAGGATAAACCTGAGGCTTATTTTTACAGAGTGAAAGGACTGTTGAATAGTGGGCATGTAGACACTGGGTTTTCCTGTTATATATTGTTCATGAATTTTTACTATATGAAGACAATGCAACAACAAACTCTTTCATCCTAGTCAAGTGTGACTTCCCCTCATGCATATGATGTACCCATAAATATAATTTCACGCTGTTATATTTATACAACAACCAAAGTTCATGGAATGTAACACATTCAACTTGTATGACAGTTGGATCACTGGGACACTGTCATTTAGAATACATTTACAACATACACTTAATGTTCTTTTTTGTTTCCTTTGCTTCTATCCTTTCTTCACAGATATCTCAGACCGAAATGCTGCCCTGCATCATTTTCATCGGCTTGTTTCTCACCGCAGCCCGGTCCCAAGATATCCATCCCTCACAGGCATCATCCTCTATAAGTGAGTCTTGTGACTCCTTGTGCTCCTGCGAGGGGAAAGATGGCATCCTTCATCTTAACTGTGACCAGAGAAACATCAGCAAAATCTCCCAAATCAAAGTCCCGGCAGGTGTGCCCTTCCACCTGAACCTTTACAAAAATGACTTGGTTGAGCTCCGTGCCGAGGAAATGGAAGGGCTTAAGAATGCCATTTCACTGCACATTGGGGGTAATAGCATTCAAGAGCTGGAACCAGGGGTCTTTAGCACTCTCGGTTCACTGAAGAAACTCCACATAAATAGCAATTTCCTCGTCACTCTGAAAGAGGACACTTTTCAAGGTCTGGTGAATTTGGAGTTTCTCCAAGCTGACACGAATTTCATTCGGGTCATCGAGCCTGGGGCCTTCAACAAACTGATCCGCCTCAAGGTCCTCATCCTCAATGATAATTCCGTAGAGTTTTTACCGAACAACATTTTCCGGTTCGTGCCCCTCACCCACTTGGACCTACGTGGCAACAAGCTCCAGACACTGCCTTATGTCGGCTTTTTGGAGCACATCGGACGTATTATGGAACTTCTCCTGGAGGACAACGAGTGGATCTGTGACTGTGATATTTTACATTTAAAAATCTGGATGGAGAACATGAGGGCCCAGTCAGCGATCGGGGATGTGGTCTGCAGCACACCACATCACCTTAAGGGGACCATTCTGGCTAAAGTCAAGCGGGACGTTCTCTGCCCATCCCATGCAGATATAAACCTGGAGGAGCCGTCAAAGTCGCTGGATATGGTCGTCACCCCCTCGTCCAAAGGGAGCCCCAAGTTGATCGACGCCAAAGATGACGCCAAGGTGCCGACGCCGTCTCACATTCCCGGCAGCCCTTGTGTGGAGCACTGTTCTTGTCACAATCACCCTGTGGCTGGGTTTTTGATGCATTGTCAGGACCGAGGAATTCAAAAGGTATCAGATATCGGTATACTTCAGCAAAGCCCCACTAAACTAGTCATGACAGGAAATATGATTCAGAAACTCTCGAAGTATGATTTTGTCACATACGACAGTTTAGAATTGCTGAACTTGGCCAACAACAGAATTGATTACATTGACAATGAAACATTCCTCAGCTTGAGCAGTTTGAAAAAACTTTATTTGAATGGCAACCGAATTGAAAAACTGTTCTCCACGATGTTTGTGGGGCTCCACAACCTTGAATACCTGTATCTGGAATACAACCTTATCAAAGAGATTGCTCCAGGCACATTTAATCCCCTGCCCAACCTGAAGCTGTTGTCATTAAATAACAACCTCCTCAGCTCTCTTCCAGCGCAGATATTTCGCAATGTGCCCCTCACCAAATTAAACCTGAGAAAAAATCTACTTATGCACCTGCCAGTGAGCAATGTGCTTGATCAACTCGACTCGCTAGAGCAGATTTATTTAGAGGACAACCCCTGGGACTGCAGCTGTGACTTGCTCAGCCTCAAACAATGGGTGGAGAAACTCAGAAAGGACACAGTGGTGGGCTTCATTTTGTGTCACACCCCGAAGAAAGTGATGCAGGCCGAGCTAAGGAGCCTTCGTCACGAGATGTTATGTCCTGGGTTGGGGACTTACTACCCTATGTCCCCAGATGGGGAGGAGAGCGTGACGGCCACCCTGGGGCCCGACAGCGCTGGCAAGGGTTTGTTCAGCTCACTCACGGACACTGTCCCGCTCTCTGTGCTCATCTTAAGCCTTATAATGTTTATCCTCATGATTATATTCTGCATGGCCGGATTGGTGGTGTTTGTGGTGCACCGGCGGCGGAGGAAGGCAAAGAAAAAAGCAGCAGAGGAGCAGCCCAGGGAAAACACCGGCAGCAGCCCCATTCACCTACATTACAGCATGTACGGGCAGAAGACAACACACCACACTATGACACAAAGAACGGGGTCTGCCAGTCTGTACGAAGAGAGATCGCATAGTCCCGTTGTCCAGATCTGTCGTAACCCCACCTACTGCTCCCAGCACAAGGAACACGACGCAGATTTGGATTATGGCCTCGACGAACCCAGCGGCAAGCATCACGTCTGCCGGAGCATCATGGAGAAGGAGAACACGTCTCCACTCACGGGAAACCCCAGCTCAAAGTTCCGACCGATGACCGGAGAGTGCCCCGCGGAGTTCGTCACTCTAGGAAATCCCAACTCCTTGTACAGGAACATTCTGGAGAGGGAGAAGGAGCTGCAGCAGCTTGGAATAACGGAGTACCTTCGGAAAAACATGCCCCAGCTTCAGTCTGCTGTAGACATGCAGGTCCCGGGACACCAGGAGGAGTTAAAGCTAATGGAGACAATTATGTACTCGCGACCACGCAAGGTCATGCTTGAGCAAACTAAGAACGAATACTTTGAACTCAAGGCTAACTTGCATACTGAGCCAGACTATTTGGAGGTTCTGGAGCATCAAACTGCATTTAACTGAACTTAAGCAGTAAAAACAACAACTATATATATTATGTTTTCAACCAAGTGCCTTGTCCCGTTTGCCCTTCTGTACTTTCCACAGTGTGATATATATATCATGGGCACATCACTTTAAGTTTAATCGTAGCACAGAATGTAACTGGTTTAGTTTGTGTTACCGTTTATCTGTTGACAGCCATGTTATGTAGCTGGTGAAAGGTGTAGTCATTTAGGCCAAATGTAACTTAAAGAAGCTATCGTTGTGTGTTGCCTGGGCCTGGGCTGAAACCCTCTTTGAAAACAACTCAATCAGCTTTTGATGATTGAATAAATTTCCATGGCGTATTGCCACCAAATGAATTGATCCGCAAAGCTCACACACACTCCAGTCTGACATCCTGATAGGATAAAGCAGATGTTTGGAAAGAAGTGAGTGAATTCCAATCGCCGCTTGACCCAGAATTGCTGTTTAATCAGACTATCCTGACTCTAGATATGACCTGATTACACCCTCTGTCAACATCAGCCAGCTGGAATGCTGTAACCAGAATGCTCATTGTGCCGTAGAGTCAGCAAAATGCCAACTGTACATTGGAAAACAGTGATAGGAGTGTGGTTCCACTGCTTTTCTGCTCAATCCAATACACTGCACAGTTGCAGTCATAGGTCCTTTATTTATTTTTATATACAAACTGGTGGCATCCAGAGAAGGATGTTTTATTTTCTGTCAATCGGTAAATACAGCACTTAAAGTACTGTATATTATACTCAACTGTAACCTTGTAAAAAGAAAAATGCATTGCACTAATCAAATGCCATGGGATGGTGCATGACAATCAACAGAGTCCTGCTGAAACCTATTTTTATTTTTGTTTTTCTGCTGGAAAAAAAATGAGCCACAAACGTGTATGATCTTTCAGCGTGTGTTTGTGTGCACGAGCGTATGCGAGATAGCGTTTCACGACACTATTTGACGCTCAAAACAGCATTTAGAAACGCCCCTCCGTCCTCATGCTGACTGGCTGATTTGGAACTGTTTCGGACTGAATCGAGGCGGGGAATATTAACCGGTTTGCACATGAACGGTTTCTGACGAGCAACATCACCCAAAAGCTCCAGTTCCCCAAGCAGACAACCTGCCGACTGACTGCAGCCAACTGTTTCTCTGTTTCAAAGCAATGGACTGCTGGCGACTGACATTTGCAATGTCGACATTGTCAGACATTACACGATACACTCCATTAACACTCCTGGAAACATTCTACTTTGAGACGGTTCATGTAAGCACACACTCTGTAGCTTTTCTACTCAACTACATTGAATTATTCTATTTATTCTGTATATTTTGTACATACTAATGTTCCATTATATCTTTGTTTTATGTGTGCCTTCAGTGCTGTACAGAATATAAACAGAAGCTGTAACTGCTAAACCGGAAATAAAGAGTTGCAATGTTACATAAACTTGAGTTCATGGTAAGTACAATGTGTACCGCATTCAGACAACATCCATAATCGTATAGAATACTGTACAATGATGTGGAACGCTCTGCAGTTCACAAGATGCCGACTAATTGACACAGCAGCCGCACTGAGCTGCGCCCAAAAGAATGACATTCTCTCGTAATTGGTTCAGTCCTCCACAGTGCCAATGTATATGTGCATGCATGTACTTGTATAAACACCATTTGGTTGTTTCCTCCGCTGTGTGAATAATTTAACCCCCCACGATGGCTCAAAACTGGTCCTTAATCACACAACAAAGCCGCTGGGCTTTTCCCCCAATCTTGCTTTTCCGCCTGCCTTTCATTCCCCTCCTCCTCCTCTCCGGGAGAAACAGTGGACCCTCTCTAATTCCTCCATTTTCTGTCATAATTGATGCATCTGAGGCTCCTTTGCAGGAACACACGCATAACCTTGCAGTGCAAAACACACACGCGCGCAGCACTCGCATACAGATACAGATACACCGCCAGCACGAATAAATATATGTCGATACATTTGAATGCAGACACGCATCATTTAAGTGATGCAAACTCACGGAGGGATACGCGCACACAGCAGGGAAGACGAATTAGCCTCCGCAGACTGATCCTCTGAGACTCGTAAGCAATACGCTTCTCTAAAGGTGAGACATTGGCAAAGTGCATAACTGTGTTCTGAACTGAAGCTCGCTAAGGCGCCCATGTTGAAACAGAGCCACAGCGTTACTGGATACATTTAACAAGATAAGTCAACAGCCACAACTTAAAGAAGAGTACATTAAATAATAATAATTGGCTCAGCACTGGTGGAACTTGTTTTTCGTCAAATGTAATTTTGTATGAAGTCTTTTGCAATTCACTTTAGTGTGAGTATGGCCCAGCCTGTTAGATAAACATCATAAAACCTTAGCACTTTTATAAAAATGGAAAGCCCTGATAATGATTTGGATATTTTTAAATAAAAGAAAAAGCATATAAGAGAACTGTGTTTAAGGAGAAATCCATATTAGAACATTTTTAGCTTCATTTGAGTTGATTTTAACCAATGGCACCGTACAGCGCCTTCGTCTGACACCCACGTTACGAGGCTTTGCTGCACCCATTTGCACAACAATGATGAAACATGGTGGCACACTAGAGCTAAGTAGCTCTTTCTTGGTATACAATAGGGAAACCCAGCTCTAATGACTATGGATGTTCATAAGTAGAGGTAGAGGCAGCTGCTGCAAAGTAACACTAGTGTTGTTACTGCCATCAGGTGTTGTGCAATTACGTGGGAACATGAGCGATGGTGCAAATTGTGCGACTCATAATAAACCCAAGTGCAAAGGTAACCAATGGTGAAAGACATACATTGCTTACACGCACAAAGGGTTGATTCACAGTCAAACAAGCTCACAGACCGAAACTCAAACAATACACCAGCAGCCAACTGTGACTATTTACAATTCATTTCCAACGCTGTTTGATTTGCACCGCGGCCGGGCACGAATCGTGTCTTGTGACTGGAAATGTAATTACAGACTCGCCTCAACTTTTTTTTTTTTTGCACACGAGCACTCAAAAATGGCACACAAATGACACTTTCGATACGCCAAATAACACAGCATATTATTGCAATAATAGTATTTGTGTTGCCTCCATTAGCACATGCACAATGGTGGACTTATCGGAGTGTCCACTGTCTCATTTGTACTGCAGATGATGTATTAGCTTTGTTAGCGAAATGCTTTCAAATATCAGCCTGAAAAATCCATATCTCACCCAGTTATCATTTTATGAAATGGTCTGTTAAAATTGGGCTGCATCGTCCCACAACCACAAGTCATTAATATTCATATCTGGGAGCATAACAACAGAACATCTCTTCAGGGCAACATTATCGATCCTTTTTATGCGTCCAAGAGTTTCGCCAGCTTCTTAAGCCGCAGTCAATTAAATGCCTCACACATTGCTTTATGTAAGATGCGCCTCTTCCCTGCCTTTAATTCCTCCTGACATTTAATGAACAGTGAGCGGCAGGAATGCAGAACAATCGCTCTGTTGGATATGATTGCTGGAGGACAAAAAGGGTTCAGTGCGTGCAGGAGGTGAAAAGATGTAGGTCTGAAGACAAAATTGGCTACAGTGCTGTTCCTTAGGGGTGGAAGACGTGTTCAGAATTTTTACTTTAGCAAAGGTTACCATAACTGTCATTTTTTACATATTTTGCATTTCTCTCTGAAACATAGTGTAGAGGAAAATACTGGAAATGCACCCAAAACTTGGTTATGTCAATATGAAAGGTTAATGAATTAAAGGGGCATACAAGTGATTAAGTATTGCACTTCTGTAAACTTGAGGGCCTCAGAAGCCTCATTATAAAATACATTTAAAAAGAAGAATGGTCAAAATTGAATCAGTAAAGGCCGAGATATTCCCGACTTTTAGTCTTTAATATAAGTCAAACTGCAAAAACACTGGGTCCTGCATTTCCCACAATACAATTCATGCTGAGAAAACCCTGATGACATCTATGAGCTATTTTGTGGTGACGAGCAAACTGAGCCTCCTGTGTAAAATATGCGACGTGAACCCTTAACTTAATACTAAATATGATTGTCTAGATTGGGTTTACTCTCATTAAACTTCAATTTGATTTGCTCTAAGTGAGTCAAATGAATCCAATTTGAAGTTTTCCCCAGCTAACTTTATTGATGTTATGAGGAAATATTTGTCCAATAAGGGAAGCTGCATTCCATTTAACATAACATGATTGATTCAGTTGGTTCAACTCATGACAGATAATGTTTTAAATGATGTAAATACCACGAAACTCAATTGGTTATAATGCTCAAAAAAGCAATAATTGAGTTTCACAATTAAACTTTCCCATTTAAAAAAAACCTGTTTATTTTCACGGAGCAACAAGGGACTAAGGGAGGAACAACATGTCACAGTTTGTTTCTCTTGTTTTATTATCTAGCATCCTTGGCTCCCCAATGAACTACTGCTTAAACTGCTCTGCAGTGACACGATGAGTCGACTCGAGGCGCATTCAAATTCTCCCCTTGACATCTCCATCCCTTCAGTCCACCTGTGGTCACTTTTAATTGATGGGGGATGATTTAGAATGAAATGCGCATCCAACAGTCCCTCCAACCGTCCATTTTCAACACCCTCGCTTTACTCTTCAGCGTCATGACTGAGGACTAGAGCCGTTCCCAGCGTGCACTGGGGCAATGACAGGCAGACGTGCATGAAATGCAGGTTTATGTAAAATGTGATACGGAAGATCGAGCACGCTTGAGCGGTTAAAAATTTGCATTACATCGATTTAAAATGTCAATCGATGGCTGTAATGGCTGCCAAATGTGCTGGAGTGTATTCAATGGACACCATTGGCACGGAATACCTACTTGAACTCCTCACTTTGACTAATATACGACTGTTGACTGAAAGACGAAGAAACCAAGCACTTAAAAAAAAAAATCAAAGGGCCGACTTTTCAAGGCACTGAAGTGACAGTAATCCATATCAAGTGTCCATAAACTGTGTAGTGTATTCGGGAGCCCCAACCTTGAATGAAGAGCCATTATGAGAGGCTGACTTTGTCTCTCAGTACACCCCCACTTGCTGAACTGAACTGTGCTCTGTTACTGAGCTCTACCCTGGGGGCGATCTTATGATGCTGCCTTGCCAAGCGGAGCAGCTTGCTATGAAGCCATGGACATTGAACCCCTATCCTGTTGTTCGCTTGGCACACAGTGTAAATCACCAAGCCACTGACCCAATTTCCCATCAGAACATCAGAAATATTTAGTCGTTGGATGTGCTGTGTTGAATCTGCTGTACTGAGAGCGGCCTTGCAGGTATAGGGGATGAAAAAACAAACTGCTGTGTGAAAGGGAAAAACCCTCCCTGAAATCAAACGTTAAAACCTAGAGTCCTCTGACAATATCTTTTTTTTTAATTTCTGTTTTGTTGTCCGTTTGTCGGCGAATATGCCTCCATTTTGCACTGACGTTCAGGCACAGAGACACCAGCTCCTCCACCACCCAAGTCGATCTGGGAAAAGTCTTACAAACCTTTAATAGCCATTAACCTTTGCTAAACACGTCATAGCTGGAAGTTCAGATAAACTGTTGGACTCTGGGTAGTGTAGGAAGTCACTATCTGGACTACAAATTCACACAGACACTGTGAGATAAAAGAAAATTACAGCACTTCATCACCAAAGAGCTCCTGGAATGTGTTGAACATCCTAGATTGATGATATATAACACAAAGTATCTAAAGGAGGATTTATCCCTTTAATGGAGTGTGTGCAGCGTTTTATCTTATACAGTATAGCACAGTGAGAGTGGATGGGGAGTGCAAGTGAGATCATAACCAATTGATGGATTAAATGGTGGGTAACGTTTTATGTATTGGATCGATTTGTTCTGTTCTCTTGAAAAGACCTTTCTTCTTCTTAAATCAACCGGGGAACAGTCGCTCTCTCATGAAGTACAGAAAAGCCATTAACTTATCTTATTGAGTAACCCTATTAAACCCTTACTGGGGATATTTTATTGACAATAGTAGATTGAATTAGACAAATTCTTGAGTCCTGAGAAGGCTGTACAGCGCAACGTAATAGGGGATAATCTTTTAACGCATCACGTGGAACAACCCGCATCAATACATGACGGGCAATAGCCTGGGTACCCATTTTGATTTATATGAATGTGCAGAGATGTGACACTGAGCAGAAAATGCAAAGGCTGAAAAATGTAAAGAAATTGGACACGACCCATCGGCCGTCTAGACATTGAAATGTGGCCAAAAATTGAGTTTCTGGGCACATAGGAGTTGAATGTAGCTCAGCATTCAGATGGTGCTTTCACACTGAAGGCACGCCAGATGCCAGGATTTGTCAGTTTGATCTAAATCATGAGGACCTCAACAGAATGTCTGTGGATGATTTTATATATACAGTATATATATACAGAGTGCAAGAAATA